TTTTTTTTTTTTTTTTTTTTTTGTTCTTTTATTTTCTCGAGGCTTAAATATGGCTTTATAGAGTACAAATTCGTAATTATTTCTATTTATTATGTAATTATTTCGAAAAATATTGATTTTTTAAAAAAGAAAAGTAATTAAATTGTGAAATTCTTGTTTATTAAAGTCCGGCTAATGTAGGAAATAATCATGTGTTTATAAATAAAAAATACTCTCTCCATTAATGTGGATTCTCTTGAGAAAACTTAAAGCAAATCCACGAGAGCTTATGCTCAAAGTAGACAATATCATACTATTGTGGAGAGTCGTGTTCGTCTAATATGGTATCAACAAATATGCTCAAAGTGGACAATATCATATCATTATAGAGAGTCGTCCTCTAACATGGTATCAACGAATATATTTGATTTATAGGAAGTACCAAAAATACAAAATAAAATGAAATTAATTTGTTCAAAAATTAAACCATTTTCTAAAAAAATATTTTTTAAAATTAAAAAAATATTTTGTTTAGTTTAAGGATGTTTTTAAATTTTTAAAAGGAGTTTAAGAGATTAATAGATTTTTTTTTTTTAAGTGGAAGAATATTTTTGAAATTAATAAGATTATTTTTATCAAAAATAATTTTAAAAAATTTAAAGTTGGAAGGATATTTCTTTTTAATTAATTTAGTCCTAATAAATAAACATTGATTTAGTAATATAACGGAAATATTTATGAATATTTCCATATTTTAAAAGTTGGAAGGATATTTCTTTTTAATTAATTTAGTCCTAATAAATAAACACTGTTTTAGTAATATAATGGAAATATTTATGAATTAGAGGGTTCAAAATCAAAGATTTAATTACATACCATAAAGTAAAATTGTGAATTATTAATTTAATAAATCAATATACATTTTTTTTACTCACAGTAATATTATTATTTTATCGATAAATCTATAAAATTAAAATCTCGAACGCTCCTTTAACTAATTTATACATATGAATAAAATACCGTCTACAAAAATAGGTGAAAAGGCACCTTTTTTCAACGTTATTTAAGATTTAAAATTCGACCCCGAAATTTTTTCGAGACGTAATGAAGACCCGTTGCTCGGTTTATTTATTTACATTTATTTGGAAATGTGTGCATAGACTCCAAATAGATTAAAAAAAATTGAATACATTTATTATTAAACTAGGGGTGGTTGGAGGGCTTGGGCGTTTGGCGTACACTCAATAGCGTAAGTTTATAATTTCGTATTGATGGTAATAATTGAGGCAATAATAAAGTAAATTTTTAATGCAGTAAATAATTTGTCCATTTTTGTATATTTATATTCATTTAAAAATAAATAAATAAAATAACTGATATGTCAGATTTGATGAGGCATATAATATATATATATATATATACACACACATACACGTCCCAACTAAAGGTGTTGGCTTTGTTGGACTGACTTGCTCAATGACTAGGATGATTGCCCTGACTCTCGAGCCACTTTCAAGGGACATGATAAGATAAGGAATCAATACAAGGGGAATAAGATTCGGATTACCTTGTTGATCGAATATCTCAAGACAAGAACATTTTGTTTGAGATTCGAATCACTCCAGAAGCAAGATCGATCATGTCTAGCTTCAATGATTCTTGTTGATCAAATATCTCAAGACAAGAACACTTGTTTGAGATTCGAATCACTCCACAAGCAAGATTGATCATGTCGAGCTTGAATGATTCTACATGCAACCTAAACTACATAGAGTTGCAAAGAAACTTAGCCATTGGCTAAAGAAAAGCACAAATGCTTCTTTTGATATATCTTCTAAGTCTGATTACAAATACAACATAGATGGCTTTATATAGCCTCAAAATGAAACTATTAAAGACATTCCAAAAGTGGTAACATTCACACTTTATGGCCATAATTAGGCATTATGTAAATGTAACCGAAATTAAATAAAAAGTCTTAAAACACAATAACTCTAAATTATAACCCACCCAAAATTTACAACAATCAAACTTTATTCTTCTTCAATGTAGCATGAATTGAAACATCTTTTGATAATTTTGACAACCTTTTCTTCACATCTTCATTGAAGCATATTGTATGATTGATGTCTCTTGGTTCATATCAGGACAGGGATAAATAATATAATTCTCATCTCTAGCCTGACGTCGTTAAATTAACGGGTAGAAATATTTGCTCGTTTCCTCCCCCATTAAGGTTGAGTTGGATTGTAACGTTATTTTCGAGTTGGTTAAGTTGATACTGTTTGATGAAAGTCCCACGTCGTCTAATTTAGGAAACAATTATGGGTTTATAATCGAGGAATACTATCTCTATTGTATGAGAGCTTATGATCAAAGTGGACAATATCGTACCATTGTAGAGATCGGTGATTCCTAACATAGTATAGTCATGTCAATAGAATCCTTAAATGCCGAACAAAGGACTCCAAAAGAAAAAGAAGTCGAGGCTCCTCGAAGGCGTAGTAAAAATTTACTAGAACTCTAAAAGAAAAAGAGTCGAACCTCGATTAAAGGGATCAATAGAATCCTCAAATCCGAAGAAGAAGGAGTCGAGGCTCCTCGAAGACATAGTAAAGAATGACTAAGACTCCAAAAGAAAAGGAGTCGAACCTCGATTAAAGAGAGACGTACTTTATTCGAGAGAAGGTGTTGGATGAAAGTCTCACATTCGCTAATTTAGGAAATGATCGTAAACTAATTATAATTTAATTTTTTACGGAAAAATAAAATTATTTAAAAATTTAAAGCCCACTAATAACAATGGGCCGGGTTATGTAACTGGGCCTTCTACTGTTGGGCCATTCTGAGACGATGGTTGGGTCCTTTCTTCTCTCTACCGCTTACGGAGTATATAAGTTGTAATGCATTTTCTTTTAGGCGGCAACGGATCGTCGTCGAGATTCCGAATTTTTGTTCGACTTCCTTTCGTGTTCTGTTGCTAACCGGCGGTTCTAGTGCGTACCTTTTCTTCTCGGTGCCTTTTTCGTCGGCGGAGAGTGATTTATTGCTTTCTGCGCGTTTTGGTTCTTTGATCAGCATCGTAAGTATTCCATCAACTTATCATGCTGGTGATCTTTAATGTTATGTGTGAAAATTGAGGATCGATTGTTCTTGGATTTTTCTGTTTGTTTACCTTCTGCCTCTCTTAATTGGAACATATTTAGGTCAAGCATCATCGTTTTTATCTTCCAGTTATCTAGGTTAGTTTTAAGGTTAACCAATGATGAACTGAAATTTTAGTACGTTGGCTTTCTGGTGAAGGCGATTCTTCTGTATTTTTTTCAACCGATTTTTGAGTGTGCGTTGAAAAAAAGGGTGGAAATACAGTAGACGTAAATGTGAGGTTAGTTCTCACGGTTTTGTTTTGTATTTTTGTGTACATTGAAATAACAACTTTATTTTCGAGAAGGAGATTTTGGATATTGATTGTCAGTGTAATTCTCTTATGTTCATTAAATTTGCTGCTCAAAAAACGTCGGGCGGGAATTAGCATTTTTATTGAATTTGGAAGCATTTAGTCATTGTTATAATATATTTGACAATTCCAGTTTGTCTTTCTTATTTATTCTTGAGATGACATGTTTCTGGTTGGAACTAATTTTTTGGTTTGAGAAGGCTGACAAGTGTTTCTCTTTTCTTTATCTCTTTTGTTTCGTTTCGTTTGTTTTTTCATTTTTTAGACGTTTCTTCTGCGGCTTTCTGGTATTAGTAGATTGTCATCGTCCATAGTTTTAAAAGATATAACATCCAGTTATTGAAACTGATTGCATTTTGATATTTGTAAATGTTGCTGTCGTTTTCAGATGAAAACTGCTGAGGCATCATTGTTCAGTTTGTTGTGCAAACATAAGGATGAAGATTCTTCATCCGATGATGAGTCAGAGGATCTTGGTGATGTTCTTGACAGTGAGGTATCCTACTACTTAATTGCATTAGCTGCTGGTTTCTTAAATTCTTGCTTGTGTTGGTGTGGTGTTTTAACCTGTAGTTTTTCACAAATTATAGGTGAAAACTTACCTGAACACTAAGGAGGAGACACATTATAAAAAGATTATTTGGGAGCAAATGAACAAAGACTATCTTCAGGTTAAAGGCTTCTTGTACCTCTCAGTAACCCTTTGATTGCTTTAATAAAAGTCTTCACTTATACTTACATTGGAAAAAGATGATTTATGCTTCGATCATAGTTTAATTTCCAAATCAATGCTATGCATGGGTTTCAGGAACAAGCAGCTAAGAAAGAAGGCCATGATGTTGTTGGAGCTGCGGCCATTGTCAAAAAGTCAAAGAAGGTATTTAGCTATCATTGCATTTTATGTTTGGTAAAAAGTTTCTTATCCAGGAAAACATTGGATGAGAATTTTGAATCTTTTCATTCTATAGTATGATTTATGTTTTCTCATTCTGTTGGAAAACAGAGGCAAAGGATAACAGAAGCTCCAATAAACAAACCCGCTCAAGCCGAAACAGACACAACACGCGAAATTCTAACTAAGAAGGTATATCAACAGCATAAACTAATGAATAGAATCATTGGGTGGGCATGTGTCTCGTTGAATCCGTTCTAGTCTCAATTTTCAATTGTTACGTTTCTTAACTTCGCATTCCTCAGGCATGTTACTTTCCAATTCTGTAGGACCAACTTTGTAATGCTTCAAAGCCACCGGTAGCAGATATTGTCCTTTTTAGGCTTTCCCTTTTAAGCTTTCTCTCAAGGTTTTTAAAACGCGTCTGCTAGGAAGGGGTTTCCACGTCCTTATAAAAAATGCTTTGTTTTCCTCTCCAACTGACGTGGGATCTCACAAACTTCCACTCACGATTGTCTTATTGCACGTGAATAGGATGTGGTTTTATGAAAAATCTTCTTGGATTTTCTTTTTCACAAATCATTTCTCACGAAAGTCTCGCATGTTATCCACATGATTGTTTTGGGATTGTTTTAGCATGGGGAAGGGTATCTATATCCATGATGCCATGGTTTTCGTGCATTCTAAGCTAGTTTGTTTGGTTATGTAACACCTATTCACCCATTAGCTTATTTCCCACAATTATTCTCTGCAGAGGCTCAGTTCAAAATTCAACTTTGACGTGTTGGACAAACTCTTCACCGACACGGTATGTTTATCTATCGATTTCTTCCATATTGTTTCAGTATTTACATAATGACTGTAATTGTATCAGCAGATGAGGTCACCAAAGCTTAACCTTCCTGATTATTTCAATTAGTACTCAACGACACATGGTTCTTATAACTGCCTAACAATTTGTGTGCAGCCTGCCCCTGACTCAAGCAAAAAGCAGGAAGCCTCGAGTTTCGAAGAGAATAGTTTATCCACACAAAACCACTCTACGAATCAGCTTGAAGAAGACCTCGAAGGCAATAATCATGTCGATACGATATCTGAAGAGAACGCCATCGACTTTGAAGATGAAGATCCCCCAGAAGCTTATGGTAACGAGTATTATGATTACGAAAACGAAGAAGAGTACGGTTATGGATACGGTGACTATGGTGGTGAAGAGGAAGATTAGTTGATCAGTTCTTATACAGAAAGCTTCTTCTTCATTGGGCAAACTGCATGAGCGAAGAAAGGCAACATTTTTGGTCCAAATCTAACAATTATTGTCGTATTATTGTTCATTTCAAAGATAGGGCAGGTTATTTGTTCCTTTTCCCCAATAGCTTTATATTGTATTTATTACCTTTTTATGGCCCATTATTTATTTATTTATTTTGTCTTGTTAAGCTCTAAATAAATTAACAACAAAAAGGTGTAATTAATGTAAATTAAGGTTAGTTACCAAATAATCATATGATATACTTACGAGGTCCCAGTTGAGTGGAGAGGAGAACAAAACATTTCTTATAAGAGTGTGGAAACCTCTTCCTAATAAGCGCCTTTTAAAATCGTGAGGTTGATGACAATACATAATGGGCTTAACCGTGAGGTTGATGACAATGCACAATGGGCTTGGGGCATTATAAATGGTATTAGAGCTAGACATCGAATAGTGTGCCAACAAGAAAGTTGGACTCCTAAAGGGGTGGATTGTGAGATATCACGTCAGTTGGAGACGGAAATATAGCACTTTATAAGGGTGTGAAAACATCTTAGTAACACCACCTACGGTGGATTGTGAGGTCCCACATCAGTTGAGGAGGTTATATGACGGTGGATTATGAGGTCTTACATCAGTTAGAGAGTGGAATGAAACATTTTTTATAAAGTTATGGAAACCTATTTGATTTAAAACGGTGAGGCTAACGACGATACTTAATAAGCTAAAGTGGACAATATATAATAGTTATGGGCTTGAACCACGGTACGAATTTTAATAATTAAAGTGTCAAAAATCTAAAAAGAAAATATTATTGTTAAAATAAGACAACTTTCTAGTGTATAGAGATTTAATAAGGTCTAAATTCGACTTATTTAACGACCAAAATGACCAAAAAAACATTTATTAATCTCGTATTAAATGCCACGTCATTACTTTAATTACGTAAAAAATTAAATAATATAATAGTATAAAAGGATAATTTTTTAATCCTTAAAATAATTTCATCTATTCCCATTCCACACTGTGTTGGGAGAGGGGGACAGGGACCAGAAGGTTGGGGGTTAGATTACAGCCCCACGATCAGAATCTTAAATTACGTACCAATTCAGAACAAAAGGGAAATCGAGGCTGGTTTCGGTTGATTTCTCTTCAATTTTTCCTACAGGTTTGAGGATTTTACTCAAAATCATTCTACAAGGGAAGAATCCATTGCGCACTCATGGCTTCAGGTATGTTGGCCTTGATGTTCTGTAATTCGATCAAGTTCATACTCGGCCGAATTTTATGATTTCATCTGGGATCTTGCTTCGAGTTTTTAGTGACTTCGTTGATCTTTTTTTTCTCTTTCTGTTTTTTGTTTTTCTAGGGTTTAGGCATGTCTTAATTTCTACGCGTTGATTTCTCCTATCTTGATTGTCTTTCTCGAAAGGGCATAATTAAGCCGAAGCACGAACTTGGAATTGAAGTTTTTAGGAATTATACTAATTTTTATCATGGTTTTTATGATTCTACGAAGTACGAGCCCATTTCTTCTCTCTTGATTGCGTAGTTTTTACGTTAGATGAATTTTGTTGCTAGAATACACGTTTTTTCCTTCATAAACACGTACATAGAAGCTTAGAATTTGAAATTGGGATAAATTTCGTCGTGTGCGTGCGTGTGTGTGTGTTTCTTCTTGTCTGTGTGCATTTCTCTGGTATGAAGTTTTTCTGTTCACTTGCAGATTATGCGTTGAAGGTCCCTGCTGAACTCGAATCAGCTTTGCGGTTGAAGACTGTTCAATACTTCATTACAAAAAGGCCGTGGCTTGGTAATTCCCCATGGCTCTAGCCCTCGTTTGTCGAGATGTTTAACGCTTCTGTTCCTCTCCTATAGAATTTAGTTTCTGTATTATGGTTTTTTTATATGTTCTTATTGTTTCAGGTCTTCTATTTCAGATCTCTATGGGGTTAATGTTAGACCTGTTGCGCCATTTGGAAGTTCCAGTCGTCAGCCATTTGTTGATCCAGCATTAATACATCGATGCTTGCCTGATGAGCTACTGTTTGAGGTAAGGTTCTCATGGTGGATCAATTCCTTGTTTCGAACTTTTTGCTTTCTTACAGAACTTCCTATAGATTGAGCTCTATTTTTCTTAAATAGGTCTTTGCCAGAATGACGCCTTTTGACCTGGGACGGGCGTCATGTGTCTGTCGAAAATGGAGATACACTATTCGCAATCCTGTATTCTGGCGTGGTGCTTGCTTGAAGGCTTGGCAGGTGAAGTAACCATAAATTTAGTGGTTGAATCTTCGTAACATATAGCATATAAATATTAAACACGAAATCTTACACGAGTTCTATTGTCTACAGCTCTCTGGTGTGGTTGAAAACTACAAGTTTTTGCATCATATGTATGATGGGTCTTGGAGAAAAATGTGGCTTTTACGGCCAAGGATCCGCACCGATGGTGAGAACTGTTAGATATATGAATCCTAATGAATTGACTTGGAGTATATGATTTACCTTTGTTGTTTTCTTCTCCTCCCAAAATTATTAAACTATATAGGTTTTTCATTACTGAGTTAGCCTCATAATTATTTCACGTTTTGGATAGCAAATATACATTTTCTTTAGACTTGCTTATTAAGTTTTAAAATGCCATATCAACATTTAAAATACATAATGCATCTTTCTTCCAAGATGCCTGGGTGTTATGTGCTAGAAAAGCTGGAATTGGGTTTAGCTTTGTTTATGGATGAGAGGTCTTCGTTGTTGTTTTGGAGATTTCCAACGGTGCTCATGTGCATCGGCCCGTTTGACCATTTGTCTTCTGAGGAATATGTTTTCTACTGCCTTCTTGTTAGTTGCCTTTTGGATTGAAAGGCATAGATCTAATTTTTGTTATGAGCTTCAGGTCTTTACGTTAGCAGGAATACGTATATACGAGCTGGGGTTGCAGAGTGGAAGATTACCAATCCAGTTCACCTGGTATGTTTGAGGAAATCAAAAGAGTGAGGTTATTTTGAGTTTTTTTTTTTTTTCCTTCTTTTTGTTGATAAAAAACCAACTTTCATGAAGAAAATAATTAATAAATACAAGGGCATACAAAAAAATAAAGCCCACAAAAGGGAGCAACCCTATAGAAAGAGACTCCACTCAAGAAAAATAAGACCCAACAAGAGAAACATGAAATCTCACAAGGGACCAAACATGAAAAGACTCCCTATCAACTCTCTGAATTTCTATTGTTCATCTCTCCTAAAAAATACCCCACAACGAAGTGCACACCCTTGCTTGCCGTAAAAAACTCCTCTTCACCCGACATGGCTGATGAAGAAGAAATTCCTCGATTATATCACTAAAAACTATGTGTTGGACAAGCCGAAGGTCAAACACACCGAAGTAGTTCTCGATTCTTCCCATTCTTTTCTCTATGTTAAATTGTATCTCCTTTTCCTTTGCCCAACTTCTGCAGGTCTGCTACTTCCGTTACATCAGATTTTTTCCTTCTGGGCGGTTTCTCTACAAGGTGCCTGTTAACTGTCATCTAGTCTTTCTAAAATAGTTCATGTATTTGTTTTGTATCTAATTGCTGCCATTTGCATTTTTTATCTGTTACTTCTAGAATTCTTCACAGAAGATCAAGGATGTGGCTAAGTGCATGAACTTTCGTGCTTCAAAAGCAGACTGTATTTTTGGTGGACACTATACCTTGTCAGATGATAAGGTAATCTAAATTTGGTCTTTTTGGAGTGTTTCGTTCAACAACGTTTTTCAGATTGTAATCCGCAGGCTTTCTTTATGGTGCATTGACCCTCTCTGTAAAGTGGGGGATTCAATCCCTAGGTGAACAAAAGCCTTAAATTTTTCTTGCATTTGTAGTAATATTTTTGTTCTAACAGTTGGTTCTTACGCTTTGCCTTTCAAGTAGCTATTTGTCCAAATCTGTTCTTTCTTTCCCAGTTTGTACACCAGAACTTATGATCATGTCACTGCAGGTTGAAGCTGCTGTTTTGTACCCGGGCGCACGTCCTACTGTGCTCAGAATCCGTATGAGGTTTGTTCTATAGGCTTGTCTAATTTTTTAACTGTGTTGACCTTGTTTAGTCGGGGTTTTGGTCACCTATACGGTAGAATGGGTCTTGCATATTGTTCCTTCCTATCAGCCAAAGAATTTGGTGCTTTTTTAAAAAAGAAAATGAAGCAATCTAGTAATAGAACACCCTTGAATTGTGTTCCGCTTTATAAAAGAGTCTGGATGCAAGTCGACTAACGAAGCACTTGTTGAAAAGATGATTGAATTAAACTTATTTAAAGTCATTTAAGAGCATTATAATGAAACTTACTACAATTAGCTGAAGGTTTCTTTTGTTATCTGTTGTTCTATATAGGCTGAGAGGAACCTCGACAGGGGCTAACAACCGAATGGATCTATTGACCCTCGTTACCAGCGGTATGAACAATAATGAGGTTAGTGATCCAGAAGAAGATATCCTTGGCATAGTGGAAAGGTGGCGGGATGATGAAACGCACAACCCAGATGTGCCTGCAGTTTCTCATAAGCGGGGTCTGACACCTTTTATATTTGTTCCTTTTGATCAGGTAATTTCCTTTTACTTCATAGCACCGTGCCCGTTATAATTTAGAGATCTAAACACGCATTTAAAGTGAGGAAGATACCAGGATCTTGTCTTTTGAATTGCACAATAGTTCAAGTGGAATCTAGTGGGAAACACCAATGTTGGCTTGTAGTTGAACACTATTTAGATCTGAGGTTCTAAGGTAGGGTGGATATCCATGGAGATATTGTCTTCTTTGGGCTTTTTCATTCGGGGTTTCTCTCAAGGTTTTTAAAATGCTGTCTGCTAGGAAGATGTTTCCACACCCTTATAAAGAATGCTTCATTCCCCTCTCCAATCGATATGAGATCTTACAATCCACCCCCTTCGGGCCCAATGTCCTCGCTAGCACTCCTTCCTCTCCCCAATCAATGTGGAATCTCACAATCCACCCCTTTTGGGACTCAGCGTCTTCATTGGCACTCGTTCCTTTCTCCAATCGATGTGGGATTTCACAATCCACCTCCCTTTGGGGCCGAACGTCCTCGCTGACATACCGCCCGTTGTCCACCCCCATTCGGGGCTCAACGTCCTTGCTAGCGTACCGCCCAATGTTTGGCTCGGATACCATTTGTAACAGCCCAAGCCCACCACTAGCAAATATTGTCTTCTTTGGGCTTTTCCTTTCGGGCTTCCCTTCAAGGTTTTTAAAACGCATATGCTAGTGAGAGGTTTCCCCAGCCTTGTAAAGAATGTTTCGTTTCCCTCTCCAACTGATGTAGGATCTCACAATTCACCCTCTTTGGGACCCAACGTCCTTGTTAGCACTCGTTCCTCTCTCTAATTGACGTGGGATCTCACAAATTAACTCGAACTCAAAGTTAGAATGTCATGCACGACATTGAAGTTCCAACTTTTGTGTTCAGGTGGATATGTTAATGTAAAGGCAACCGTTTTTAAACTGCTATTTACCTTCTATGGTCCAAAAGTTTGCCACATGGGCCTTTAATTTAGAAATGTAGTCTTAGAATCTCTGTTAAACGGTTCGAAATTTTTGGTACCTCAATGTTTTTGAATTCTTTGGCTGATACAGGTGGAAACATCAGAACTAAACTTGCCTGTAGAGAAGATGGACTATTTTTTACCTGGCTGATGCTCCAACTTTACTGCATCTTTCTGTATATATTAGTCAGTCCAGCCTTAGAGATCATATTTATTTATTTATTTATTTCCCGGTCGTCTTACATGCTGCCTGTGTATAAATAACGAAGCACGTGAAGTTGCCCGAAAACGTGACAATTTCTTTGTTTCCTCTCGTTCTTGTTGTATCATTGCAGTATTATACGATTGTGTTGCAGAAGCTGCAAAAACGATGCCCGAGTTTGTTTATGAACTGAATGGTACCTTAGATTGAAGATTGTAAATGTTTAAATGGCTACTAGGCTTGTTTAAGAACACGTCTCGACCTAGCTTTGTCCACTGCTTAACTTATCACATGGATTACTCGTTTGCCCCGGAAGGACTTGCAAGATACAAAATTGGAAGTTCACATTTTTATTAAATTTACGTTTGAAAATTATATTTACTAGATCCATTCTTTTTTGAAAAATTCAAAATGAATTTTCACGAACACGTAGAACACGCAAAAGGGTATAGAGATTTGTTAGACAAGTATGAAAATTAGTAATTAAAATAGATGATAAAATATCGTACAATATACATTGTACTACAAATTTTGCTTTATTTATAAAAAAAAGGGAAACATTTATTTATTATTTTTGAATTTCTTGAAACAGTATTTTTTAAATAAAATATTAATAATTTCCTTCCAAAATTAATATAAAAAATATTTTAATTGTTTTTTCCGAGTTTAATAATATTTTTGAGATTTTTTTTTAAAGGTTGAAAGTATTATTAAAATTTAAAATTTTATGTATATAAATACTACGTAAAATTTATAAATATTTTTATTAATTTAGTCGAATTTTTAAAATATTATGCTATGATTATTTTTATTAATTTAGTAGATTTTTAAAACATGAATAGAAAGTAAATAACAAAATAAAAATAAATTTATAGTTATCAAATGAAAAATGAGTCTTTCCATTTTAAATCGAGTAGTTATTGATAAGGGGGAATAATTAGTTATTCAACTAATTGATTTAATTTTTAACTAATTAAGCTATATTAGAGTTAATTTAGGCATAATATTGTAAAAATAAAAAAAATAAAAAAAATAAAAAAAATAAAAAAATAAAAAAAGCGGCGCTCTCGAGACTCGAGTAACGTCGGTTCGGTTCCCTGGTTTTGATATGAACCGAACCAATCCGGTCCATAAGAACCGATATTATTCGGGTTGGGATTTCATCGGTTTTTTGGTTACCCATCTTCTCACGCGCTCATTGGCGCGGGAGTCTCTTGAAATACTAACGAATTGGCGCCCTTACCAGAAATTCACTCTCCCTCTGCTCATTGCTCACTTCTTGTGGTCTCTTCATCCATTTGCTGCTTCCGTTTTCCTCAACCCTCACCATCGCGCTTTACTCTCCACCCTCCCAATTAGGGCTTCGTAGTTCGGGTCTTAGCAAATGGATCAGTCTTCGCTGCAACTCATCCACGACGTTGGAACTAAATTGAGCAAACAGTCTCGCCCAACTAAGGATTTCATCGTCAAATCCCTCCGGGTAATTTTCCTACGTTGAATTTTCTGTTGTATTACGCTTTGAAATTCCTCTTTGGTTGGTGTCTGATTGCATTGTCCCCGGGTGTGTTCTTCTTTGCTTACTGAATAAGTTGACGATGGTTTTGTATTCGTGGTTAATTGTAAGTTCATACATGTTTTTTTTTTTTTTTTTTTTTTTTTTTTTTTTTTTTTTTTTTTTTTTTTTT